CAGCAATCCAATACATCTCGCACAAGGAACAGGTTGTCCATTATCGATCTATCAGGAATGCAGTAAGACTGGTCCCTATGCACTACCAAAGACAAGTAATTTTTGAGCCTATTGGCTAAACATTTGGAAAGGATTTTATAATCAGTGGTTAAAAGAGCAACTGGTCTCCAATTCTTTAAAAGAGAGAGGTCCCCCTTTTTAGGCAACAAAGACAACACAGCACGCTGACATGAACCAGGTAAAACCCCTTCCCTGATGCATTCACAGATTACTTCATAAAAATCTCCCCCAATACAGTCCCAGAAATGCTTATAAAGTCAGAGGGCAGGCCGTCAATGCCTGGAGACCGTCCTGTGTTGAGCTGTCCAACCGCAGCAGTGAGGTCTTGCAGAGTCAGATGAGAGTCTAGCTCATCTCTGGATTCAGAGTCCAGTTGTGGGAGTCCTTGAAGAAGCTGCGCAACACAGTCAGAGTCACAGAGTTCTGCAGTGTAAAGAGCAGAATAAAAATCCACTGCATGTTTACGCATGTCTGTGACATCAGTAGACACTCGTCCATCCGGAAGGCGAAGACAGACCATCTGCTTGTGCTGTGCTACTGAACGTTCCAGATTGAAGAAGAAGGCACTTGGAGCGTCCATGTCTGCGAGTGTAGTAAAACGGGATCTCACCAAGGCCCCCTTCACCCTCTCATTCAAGTAGACACTGAGCTCCTTCCTCTTCTGCTGCAACTTTCCCAACGTAACAGGGTCATGAGTAGCAGTCAGTCCAAGCTCCAGAGAGCGTATCTCCCTCTCGAGAGCCTGGACAGTCAGTCTTGCTCTTGTACTTGAATTGGCTGTATACTGTTGACAAAACATTCTTATCTGTGCCTTGCCCATTTCCCACCACTGTCTCAAATTTTCAAAATCAACTTTTTTGGTCTTCCACTGTTCCCAAAAGCACATGAACCTTGCACAAAAAACTGCATCATGCAACAGCTTCACATTAAAATGCCAATATGAAGGTGCACTAGAAATGCGTGACAAGCTCACCGTGATAGAAACCAAGTGGTGATCAGAAAACCCCACAGGAGAAATGACAGCCTCAGTGATTCTACTGCCAAGATGTGTAGACACATAAATTCGGTCTAGCCGAGCAGCACTAATTCTATTATCAGAGACCTTGACCCATGTATACTGTCTAGCTACAGGATTCTTAACTCTCCACATGTCCAACAACCTAAACTGTTTCAGGAGCTTAGACAAGCACACAGAAGACTGTATGTGAGGTTCTTCAGAAGTACGGTCTATGGTAAAATCCACCGTACAGTTCCAGTCCCCCCCAATGACAGTAAATCCATCATTAGCACACCGACTTAAAGTAGTGTGCAAAGTGTTAAAAAATGCAACACGGTCATGCCCCACATTGGGGGCATAGACGTTCACAAAGGAGAACTGAATGCCTTTAATTTCAACCCTGACCACTACAAGACGACCTTTCACGACCTCTTCTGTGTGCAAAATCTTAACCCCTGATGAAGGACAGAAAAGAATCGCCACCCCAGCACTCAAATTGGTGCCATGACTCAACACATGCTGTCCCTCCCACCACATAGCCCACTCAACTTCATTATCCACATCACTGTGTGTCTCCTGAAGGAAAGTAACATGCAGTCTTTTCTGCTGTATAGTATCAGATACTAAAGCACGTTTCAGTCTATCTCTACCCCCATTTATGTTAAAAGAACCTACTCTTAAAACTTCCATAAATAGACCTAAGAGAAGAGCCAAGAGAAAGAACAGAAACATAGGAGGTAGAGACACCACGTGACGCATGATCAATTTATCACAGATGACTGGAAGACTTTTTCTTCACCAGTTTACCATACTTACGTATGTGTGTAACATGTTTCTTTAGCCGAAAGCGCTTTTTCTCATTCAAAAGGTCAAGACCCACAGTCTTCTGGAGCAGTGAAACCGACCTGACAAACTTCTCCATATCAGGAAAAAATCTTTCACATTAACCTGTTTTTCCGTAGGTCTCATCTAAAAAACTGTTAACTTCATCCAAAGTATAAACTGACTGATCCACCTGTGAAGCTCCCTGAGAACTGACTTCTAAACCACTACAGGGCCACTCTTGGGAAGCCCCAAGTTCACCAGGGTTCTCCTGCAAACAAGCACCCCCTTCATCAGAAAAGGATTCATCCAGCCTCAATTCAACATCATTCAAACCAGCAGCACTGGTCTCAGCTGTCCTCTCATTCAGATCACTCATTTCTATGTTGCCTTTCAACTGTATGACACCACTCGTACTGGGCACTGCATTGTCCACACTCTGGTTCTCTTGCTCAGACACTGCAGGCAGCTCTATCAAAGCTTCAGCATGGCCCACCTGAGAAGGCCCGACGGCCTCCCCCTGACCAACATTTGCGCTCACAGCAGCACCTACCTCAGACCTAACATTAACATTTCCCTCTTCTTGCCTCCTGTGCGGACATGCAAACCGTTTATGTCCAATATCACCACATTCAAAGCAGCGCAGACTGCCTGAACTAGCATAGACCATATAGGCCTGCCCGTCATGTTTTACACGGAAGGAAACATCAAGTGTGTGATCAGGAGAGTCTAAAAACATGTAAACCTGCCTCCTAAAAGACGTAACATGCTTAAGTGAAGGATTTTTACAGCCAAGCGAAACCATCTTAAATGAGCTAGCAATCTTACCAAATCGTAAAAGCTCACGTTCCAGCACCTCATTCTGTATAAACGGCGGTACATTTGAAACAGTGATCTTTGTGGAGGGAGCCAACAGTGGCGTGACCTGCACAAACATTTCATTTATAACTATGCCACTTTCAATTAGCCGGCTAACAAGGTGGGTTTCTCTAAGAAAGACCACCACTGCTTTATTCATACGAGATGCAGACATAATGTGTTCAGTACCAACCTGCTCTCCTACAGCAAGGAGAACATCTTCCACCATTACACTATCTTCAGGCACACACCTGAAGCCATGGCGGAGGGACAAAGATGGTGTCTCTTCAAGAGACACCATCCCTGCCACAACTCACACACCACAACAACAAACCAGCACAAAGTACTCACCAAATCATGCGATTTAGAAGAAGAAAAAAGTGAAAAAGTAGCAGTCACTCTCACCAAGAGTCTCACCCCACACCACTCTCAGTCAAACTCCCAGCATGCAACAGGAGAGAGAGAGAGAGAGAGACAGAGAAAGAGACAGAGAGAGAGAGACATAAACAAGGTGTAGTGGGTCTCTAGTTTCAGGTTCCTGGGAACCCACATTGCAGAAGATCCCTCATGGACAATAAACACAAACTCGCTGGTTAAAAAGCACAGCAGCGTCTTCACGTCCTGAGAACTGGTGTCTTTCTGTCGTTCCTCCATGGGAGGATCACGGGATGCTGGTGTGTTACGGCGACAGCTCAGCAGCTCTGCAGAGAAAAGACACCAACACACACCGATCTGCCTACTTTGGAGGACGTCTACACCTCCTGGTGCCGACGGGAAGTGTATGTAGAAACCAAATTCTATTTCTATTCTAAACGTTACTTTTACAGACAATTCAAACACAACAACACAAGAATCCGTCCTGGTAATCACACTGTAGTTTGGGATGGTCAGTGTGACGGTGTTTTAGTGGTGAGTCTTCAGAACGAAGATGCTGAGGAACAGCTGTGGTTGTTGTTTGCAGTGAGACAGTTTAGATTTAGGTAAATAAACACCTCATATTCTCATATTGGAGTATATGAGTCTGTAAGACAGACGGCAAGCAGTGAGACAGTTTAGATTTAGGTAAATAAAACACCTCATATTCTCATACTGGAGTATATGAGTCTGTAGGACCGACAGCGAGCAGTGAGACAGTTTAGATTTAGGTAAATAAACACCTCATATTCTCGTATTGGAGTATGTGAGTCTGTAGGCGAGCAGTGAGACAGTTTAGATTTAGGTAAATAAACACCTCATATTCTCGTATTGGAGTATGTGAGTCTGTACGGCGAGCAGTGAGACAGTTTAGATTTAGGTAAATAAACACCTCATATTCTCGTATTGGAGTATGTGAGTCTGTAGGCGAGCAGTGAGACAGTTTAGATTTAGGTAAATCAACACCTCATATTCTCGTATTGGAGTATGTGAGTCTGTAGGCGAGCAGTGAGACAGTTTAGATTTAGGTAAATCAACACCTCATATTCTCGTATTGGAGTATGTGAGTCTGTAGGCGAGCAGTGAGACAGTTTAGATTTAGGTAAATAAACACCTCATATTCTCGTATTGGAGTATATGAGTCTGTAGGCGAGCAGTGAGACAGTTTAGATTTAGGTAAATAAACACCTCATATTCTCATATTGGAGTATATGAGTCTGTAGGCGAGCAGTGAGACAGTTTAGATTTAGGTAAATAAACACCTCATATTCTCATATTGGAGTATGTGAGTCTGTAGGCGAGCAGTGAGACAGTTTAGATTTAGGTAATAAACACCTCATATTCTCATATTGGAGTATATGAGTCTGTAGGACCGACGGCGAGCAGTGAGACAGTTTAGATATAGGTAAATAAAACACCTCATATTCTCATACTGGAGTATATGAGTCTGTAAGACCGACGGCAAGCAGTGAGACAGTTTAGATTTAGGTAAATCAACACCTCATATTCTCGTATTGGAGTATGTGAGTCTGTAGGCGAGCAGTGAGACAGTTTAGATTTAGGTAAATCAACACCTCATATTCTCGTATTGGAGTATGTGAGTCTGTAGGCGAGCAGTGAGACAGTTTAGATTTAGGTAAATAAACACCTCATATTCTCATATTGGAGTATGTGAGTCTGTAGGCGAGCAGTGAGACAGTTTAGATTTAGGTAAATAAACACCTCATATTCTCATATTGGAGTATGTGAGTCTGTAGGCGAGCAGTGAGACCCGCAGCGCTGAGACTGAAGGCCCTGCCCGGAACTACAGTTCGGGCTGTTGTTTGCCGGGGGACTGTTTGAAAGGCGCGCCGCTCGTTCCGGAGCTGTTGTTTTGTTGCCCCGGTGCGGATCTGCCCCGCGCTGTTGCCCCGTTTGTCCCGTTTCTGCCCCTGTTTGTGTGACTTTGGGCCGCTGGTTCTGAAAGAGGATGAAGCCGAAACAGAAGCTGCGGCACGTGGTGGCCTGGATGAGTCGCGCGGAGTGGGAGCAGCTGCTCGAGAACCTGCACTCCGGACAGGCGGCGCTGCAGACTCACGCGCTGCACAGGCTGAGCGCGTGGAGGGGCAGGTAGGGGGGCAGGTAGGGGGGCAAAAGGGGCAGGAGGGCCAGAAACATGGGGCACTTAGGGAGCCAGAGGGCCAGAGAGGTGAGATAGGAGGGGCAGCTAGCTGCGCGAGAGAAGAGTAAAGGGGCAGGAGGGCGAGAGAGATGGGGCAGGTAGTGGGCGAGAGGGCCAGAGAGGTGGGGTAGGAGGGGCAGGTAGGGGCGCGAGAGAGGGGCAAGGGGGCCAAAGAGATGGGTAGGAAGGGCAGGAAGGGGCATGAAGGGTGCAAGAGGGCTAGAGAGATGGGTAGGAAGGGCAGGAAGGAGCATGAAGGGAGCAAGAGGGCCAGAGAGATGGGTAGGGGGCGAGAGGGGTGCAAGAGGGCAAGAGAAATGGGGTAGGAGGTAAGAGGGGCAGGTAGGGGCGCAAGAGGCCAGAGAGATGGGTAGGAGGGGCAGGTAGGGGTATAAAGGGTGCAAGAGGGCTAGTGAGGTTGGAATAGGAGGGGTGGGGTGGGGAGGGGCACGAGACAGGGGTAGGAGGGGCAGGTAGGGGCACGAGAGGGGGTAAAAGGGGCAGAAAGGCCAGAGAGGTGGGGTAGGAGGTTTAAAGTTCCATTTCCATCAGGTTGTTTTTATTCAAATATTCACCAAACCCCCGGCCTCTGCTGTGCTGTAGGTTTGGGAACAGTACTCCGGTGGCCGTGGAGAGCACCGCTAACCTGGTCCGCTGTCAGGTTCTGGACAGCTCCGGCAAACTGGAGGGAGACGACCTGGTTCTGCTGTACGGCATGGCTCTGACCAGGTGTGTGTGCACAGTGTGTGTCCAAAAGGATCCACATGTTCCCTCTAATGAGTGAATTCAGCTGCTTTAAGGTTCCCATTGCTGACACAGCTTGTGTGATCTCCATAGAAAAGCACTGACCAATAGGGACCCTCTAAAGCAGCCGTGTGAGTCTGAGGTCACCATGCCCAATGCCAAGTGTGGGCTAGAGGGGTATAAAGCGGAACTGTGCTCTCTGGAGTGATGGAGCTCCATCCAGTACCTTTGGGATGATTATTGATCCAGAAGTAATCATCCAACATCAGTACCTGACCTCACTAATGCTCATTCAAATCCTCACAGCAATGTTCCGACATCTAGCATAAAGCCTTCGTAACAATTTATATTATCACCATAACAATTTGGGTTAAAAGTAGAATCTTTGACGTTTGAGGGTGAATTTCAGAATTTCTTAGTATTTGGTGGTGTGTCCCCTTTTTGCTTTGATGACACTCGAGCTGCCATGAACTCCTAAAGCCTCAGATGAGCAAATCAATAATTTCTGTGAATTTCTGAGCGTTTACAACATTTAAAGGGATTGAAAAAGAAATTAAAATGAAATTTAATGAGGTTAAACCAAAATAAACAAAATTACATAAACAAATTAACAGAAGAAACAGACAGTTAAGATTTGATTAAGAAGGAGAAATATAAAATAAAACCAAGAAAATAAACCAGTTAAGATTTCAACATAAAAGGATAAATAAACAAATTCAAATTAAAACAGTCAATTAAAATAAAAAGGTCATAAAAATTAATAAAAAATGATGAAATGAGATAAAATTAAATAAAATAAAATGATTGGGAAATCAGATCCACCTGAGGATCGTCTGCAACCTTGAGATTTGGAACGGCTCTGTATCAGTGAGTGTGTTTACATACATATTATAGTCTGATAACTGTAGAAAATCACATTTGCAGACTTGAGTAATCAGATAATGGGGAAACTCCTGGTTTACATGAGTCAGACAGTGATCAGATTTCTGCTTTGCAACCAGCCAATAAACTCACAGAAGAAGACGTGACGTCTTCTCAAACTTCATACTCCGGCTTTTTTTAAATTATCGAGTTACTTTACTTGAAAATATGAACATCCATCATCTAGAAGACGAAGAATATTTAAATCCTTCATTTCGTCAAGCGTGTATTTGGTTTCAGTGCTGCTCCAAAAGTGTTTTGCTGCGTCTCGCGGCGACTGCTGCTCGCTTATTTCCGTTACCGCTGTCCGTTTTCACACATGCTCAGACTGAGCAATCTGAAAGAAATCAGAGTAAGAGTTTACAGCACTGAGAAATCTGATTACTGAGCTAAAATCCAGCCTCTTTATCAGATTTCTTAGATTTCTAGACCTCAATCTGATCTAAGAAATCAGTGTGCTGTTTACATGACCATTTGAATTTTGAATGTGATCGGATTGAGTGAATGTAAACACAGTCGATGATGATGGTGATGATGATGGTGATGGTGGTGATGATGATGTGTGATGATGATGGTGAAGGGCTGTATCTGTAATGTATTGTGTGTGTTTAGGTGTGTTAATCTTATCCTGGAGCGCCAGCAGGGGAGAGTCGCCAAATCACTACGACATCTAGCCAGCAAGGTTAGTCTGCTCTGATGTGTTTGTGTCTGTGTTTGTGTCTGTCTGTGTCTGTGTTTGTGTCTGTGTTTGTGTCTGTCTGTCTGTGTTTGTGTCAGTCTGTCTGTGTTTGTGTCTGCCTGTCTGTGTTTGTGTCTGCCTGTCTGTGTTTGTGTCTGTTTGTCTGTGTTTGTGTCAGTCTGTCTGTGTTTGTGTCAGTCTGTCTGTGTTTGTGTCTGCGTGTCTGTGTTTGTGTCTGCCTGTCTGTGTTTATGTCTGCCTGTCTGTGTTTGTGTCTGTGTTTGTGTCTGCCTGTCTGTGTTTGTGTCAGTCTGTCTGTGTTTGTGTCAGTCTGTCTGTGTTTGTGTCTGCCTGTCTGTGTTTGTGTCTGCCTGTCTGTGTTTGTGTCTGCCTGTCTGTGTTTGTGTCTGCCTGTCTGTGTTTGTGTCTGCCTGTCTGTGTTTGTGTCTGTGTTTGTGTCTGCCTGTCTGTGTTTGTGTCTGTGTTTGTGTCTGCCTGTCTGTGTTTGTGTCTGCCTGTCTGTGTTTGTGTCTGTGTTTGTGTCTGCCTGTCTGTGTTTGTGTCTGCCTGTCTGTGTTTGTGTCTGCCTGTCTTTGTGTCTGCCTGTCTGTGTTTGTGTCTGCGTGTCTGTGTTTGTGTCTGCCTGTCTGTGTTTGTGTCTGCCTGTCTGTGTTTGTGTATGTGTTTGTGTCTGTGTTTGTGTCTGCCTGTCTGTGTTTGTGTCTGCCTGTCTGTGTTTGTGTCTGCCTGTCTGTGTTTGTGTATGTGTTTGTGTCTGTGTTTGTGTCTGTGTCTGCCTGTCTGTGTTTGTGTCTGCCTGTCTGTGTTTGTGTCTGTGTTTGTGTCTGCCTGTCTGTGTTTGTGTCTGCCTGTCTGTGTTTGTGTCTGCCTGTCTGTGTTTATGTATGTGTTTATGTATGTGTTTGTGTCTGCCTGTCTGTGTTTGTGTCTGCCTGTCTGTGTTTGTGTATGTGTTTGTGTCTGTGTTTGTGTCTGCCTGTCTGTGTTTGTGTCTGCCTGTCTGTGTTTGTGTCTGTGTTTGTGTCTGCCTGTCTGTGTTTGTGTCTGCCTGTCTGTGTTTGTGTCTGCCTGTCTGTGTTTGTGTCTGTCTGTCTGTGTTTGTGTCTGTGTTTGTGTCTGTCTGTGTTTGTGTCTGTGTGTCTGTGTTTGTGTCAGTCTGTCTGTGTTTGTGTCTGTGTGTCTGTGTTTGTGTCAGTCTGTCTGTGTTTGTGTCTGTGTGTCTGTGTTTGTGTCTGTGTGTCTGTGTTTGTGTCTGCCTGTCTGTGTTTGTGTCTGTCTGTGTTTGTGTCTGCCTGTCTGTGTTTGTGTCTGTGTTTGTGTCTGCCTGTCTGTGTTTGTGTCTGCCTGTCTGTGTTTGTGTCTGTCTGTCTGTGTTTGTGTCTGCCTGTCTGTGTTTGTGTCTGTGTGTCTGTGTTTGTGTCTGTCTGTCTGTGTTCGTGTCTGCCTGTCTGTGTTTGTGCCTGTGTTTGTGTCTGTCTGTCTGTGTTTGTGCCTGTGTTTGTGTCTGCCTGTCTGTGTTTGTGTCTGTCTGTCTGTGTTTGTGTCTGCCTGTCTGTGTTTGTGCCTGTGTTTGTGTCTGCCTGTCTGTGTCTGTATGTCTGTGTTTGTGTCTGCCTGTCGGTGTTTGTGCCTGTGTTTGTGTCTGCCTGTCTGTGTTTGTGTCTGTCTGTCTGTGTTTGTGTCTGCCTGTCTGTGTTTGTGCCTGTGTTTGTGTCTGTCTGTCTGTGTTTGTGTCTGCCTGTCTGTGTTTGTGCCTGTGTTTGTGTCTGCCTGTCTGTGTTTGTGTCTGTCTGTCTGTGTTTGTGTCTGCCTGTCTGTGTTTGTGCCTGTGTTTGTGTCTGTCTGTCTGTGTTTGTGTCTGTCTGTCTGTGTTTGTGTCTGCCTGTCTGTGTTTGTGTCTGTCTGTGTTTGTGTCTGCCTGTCTGTGTTTGTGTCTGTGTTTGTGTCTGCCTGTCTGTGTTTGTGTCTGCCTGTCTGTGTTTGTGTCTGTCTGTCTGTGTTTGTGTCTGCCTGTCTGTGTTTGTGTCTGTGTGTCTGTGTTTGTGTCTGTCTGTCTGTGTTCGTGTCTGCCTGTCTGTGTTTGTGCCTGTGTTTGTGTCTGTCTGTCTGTGTTTGTGCCTGTGTTTGTGTCTGTATGTCTGTGTTTGTGTCTGCCTGTCTGTGTTTGTGCCTGTGTTTGTGTCTGCCTGTCTGTGTTTGTGTCTGTCTGTCTGTGTTTGTGTCTGCCTGTCTGTGTTTGTGTCTGTGTTTGTGTCTGCCTGTCTGTGTTTGTGTCTGTCTGTCTGTGTTTGTGTCTGCCTGTCTGTGTTTGTGCCTGTGTTTGTGTCTGTCTGTCTGTGTTTGTGTCTGTCTGTCTGTGTTTGTGTCTGCCTGTCTGTGTTTGTGCCTGTGTTTGTGTCTGCCTGCCTGTGTTTGTGTCTGTCTGTCTGTGTTTGTGTTTGTGCCTGTGTTTGTGTCTGCCTGTCTGTGTTTGTGTCTGCCTGTCTGTGTTTGTGTCTGTCTGTCTGTGTTTGTGTCTGCCTGTCTGTGTTTGTGTCTGTGTCTGTGTCTGTGTTTTCTGTCTGTGTGTCTGTGTTTGTGTCTGTCTGTCTGTGTTTGTGTCTGTGTGTCTGTGTTTGTGTCTGTGTTTGTGTCTGCCTGTCTGTGTTTGTGTCTGTGTGTCTGTGTTTGTGTCTGTCTGTCTGTGTTTGTGTCTGTCTGTCTGTGTTTGTGTCTGCCTGTCTGTGTTTGTGTCTGCCTGTCTGTGTTTGTGTCTGCCTGTCTGTATTTGTGTCTGCGTTTGTATCTGCCTGTCTGTATTTGTGTCTGTGTTTGTGTCTGCCTGTCTGTGTTTGTGTCTGCCTGTCTGTGTTTGTGTCTGTGTGTCTGTGTTTGTGTCTGCCTGTCTGTGTTTGTGTCTGTGTTTGTGTCTGTGTGTCTGTGTTTGTGTCTGTCTGTCTGTGTTTGTGTCTGTGTTTGTGTCTGTGTTTGTGCCTGTGTGTCTGTGTTTGTGTCTGTGTGTCTGTGTTTGTGTCTGCCTGTCTGTGTTTGTGTCTGTCTGTCTGTGTTTGTGTTTGTGCCTGTGTTTGTGTCTGCCTGTCTGTGTTTGTGTCTGTCTGTCTGTGTTTGTGTTTGTGTTTGTGTTTGTGTTTGTGCCTGTGTGTCTGTGTTTGTGTCTGTCTGCGTGTCTGTGTTTGTGTCTGCCTGTCTGTGTTTGTGTCTGTGTTTGTGTCTGCCTGTCTGTGTTTGTGTCTGTGTTTGTGTCTACCTGTCTGTGTTTGTGTCTGTGTGTCTGTGTTTGTGTCTGCCTGTCTGTGTTTGTGTCTGTGTGTCTGTGTTTGTGTCTGCCTGTCTGTGTTTGTGTCTGTGTGTCTGTGTTTGTGTCTGTCTGTCTGTGTTTGTGTCTGCCTGTCTGTGTTTGTGTCTGCCTGTCTGTGTTTGTGTCTGTGTTTGTGTTTGTGTCTGTGTGTTTGTGTCTGCCTGTCTGTGTTTGTGTCTGTGTGTTTGTGTCTGCCTGTCTGTGTTTGTGTCTGCGTGTCTGTGTTTGTGTCTGTCTGCGTGTCTGTGTTTGTGTCTGCCTGTCTGTGTTTGTGTCTGTGTTTGTGTCTGCCTGTCTGTGTTTGTGTCTGTGTTTGTGTCTGCCTGTCTGTGTTTGTGTCTGCCTGTCTGTGTTTGTGTCTGTGTTTGTGTCTGTGTGTCTGTGTTTGTGTCTGCCTGTCTGTGTTTGTGTCTGTCTGTGTCTGTGTTTGTGTCTGCCTGTCTGTGTTTGTGTCTGCCTGTCTGTGTTTGTGTCTGTCTGTGTTTGTGTCTGCCTGTCTGTGTTTGTGTCTGTGTCTGTGTCTGTGTTTTCTGTCTGTGTGTCTGTGTTTGTGTCTGTCTGTCTGTGTTTGTGTCCCTGTACCTTCAGTGTTTAAACTAAAGAAGCACTAAAGATGTCCTGTCTCTCTCTCTCTCTCTCTCTCTCTCTCTCTCTCTCTCTCTCTCAGCTGAATATTCCAGAGTGGATAGTGAACCTAAGGCATGATATGACTCACCGCAGACTGCCTTCACTCAAGTGGTGCCGCAAAGGTGAGACACACCAAAGCACCAACATCAGTAAAACTAAATATCATTGTACGTTTTGTGTATCGTAAAAATGTCATCAAATATTGTGATATTTATATATTGTGATTCCATTTTTGCCTCATTGCCCTCCACTACCCCACATTAAAGGTGCAGTGTGTAAGATTTAGTGGCATGTAGTGGTGAAGTTGCAGATTGCAACCAGCTGAACCACCTTCCCTCACCCCTCCCTTTCCAAGCGTGTAGTAGAACCTATGATGGCCGTCAGGTTTTCTGCCGTCGCCTGTTCTAATTTCGTTTTGCTTCTTCATGTTTTCACTTCTTTGACGGTGAGGATTCACCCTCACTCGCTTTTTCTCCTGCTAACTCATAAGTCTGATGCTCCATTTGTCAGAATTTGGCTTCTCAAACTTCTCCCAACACAGAATGTTCAGCCAGCACTGGTAGCGATCACTGATTCGGCTTTCCACGTCTTCCAACCTGAGCTACAGCGCCACCAAATTCAAGCTGCTGCTCCAACGTAAAAATGCAAAAGAAACCCTTCATTCTTCATTCAGTCCACATTGGAGACACGTGTGAAATGGCGTGCAGAGGGTTTACAGCTCAGGAGCTGGTCCACGTTGCTGCAGTGATTTTGGAAAGTAGTGATGAGGAGAACATTAATCTTCCATATTATTCATAACATTTCACTACTTTTGTGAATCTGAAACTTCACTACGCACCAAAACAATCCACATGAGCAAAGCTTTGTTTTCACAAGAGACACTATCCATCCGTCATCTAAACCGCTTATCCTTCTGGGTCACAGTGGGGTGCTGGAGCCTATCCCAGCTGTCATTGGGCGGAAGGCAGGATACACCCTGGACAGGTCGCCAGTCCATCGCAGGGCAGACAGACATACACATTCACACCTAGGGGCAATTCAGCATGTCCAATCAGCCTGACTGCATGTTTTTGGACTGTGGGAGGAAACCGGAGTACCCGGAGGAAACCCATGCAGACACGGGGAGAACAGGCAAACTCCACACAGAAATGACCCTGGTCACCCGGCCGGGAATCGAACCCAGGCCCTTCTTGCTGTGAGGCGACAGCGCTACCCACTGCGCCACCGTGCCGCCCACTAAGAATTTCTAAAACTGGACTTCAGGTTTTCAGGTTTAGGGCTGAATTACCTCTTTGCACAGTGCTGCAGGTCAAAAGCGCCCCATTATAGAGAAGGAGAGGAAGGACTGATATGTAAGAAATCAGTTTGTGTTGAATTGGGTCTCGCGTATTAATCACTAATATATATGTATATATATATATATGTGTGTGTGTGTGTGTGTGTGTGTGTGTGTGTGTGTGTGTGTTGCAGGCTGCGAGTTCATCTTAAACTGGCTCCGGCAGGAGTACTGGTCCAGACAGCTGAACGGCCGTCTGATAGAGGACTGGAGCTCTTCATCTGAGGGAGAGGAAGACGAAGAGGAGAGGAGCAAAAGACACGAGGAAGAAAGGGCGAAAAGACAGAGAGACATAGAGGCACACAGTGAGTATGAGAGAGAGAGAGAGAGAGACAGTGTTTTTGTGAGAGAAGTAATGAATAACATTGTCTGTGTTTACATGCAACGATTTCTGCCAATCTGATCGAACACATTCCGATTACAGACTGAGACTAAGGTGTTTATTCTCACTCTACTCAACAATCTGATAAATCTCCGTTTACACTCACACTACAAGTAATCCGATCTAACATTATGCCTGTGTAGAGTAACATTTAGTGTAGACGTTACCATGACAACCAGCATCACGTGAGACCCGTCAGAGTGAGATGAGCAGCAGTGAGCAGTGCTTGTGTTTTTAATCACTTTAAAATGATGTCAGACTCAGGAAAACGTCCTTCACATGTCCTTATTAAAGAAGGCCGAGAGGAAGACGTCGTGTTCTGAGACACATAAGCTGGACGTCCGTCCCACCGCCGTCTTTTAAAGATCAGAGCATAAACTTCGTCTCCTCTGCAGACCAGTTTCTGCTCCGCCATGTTGAACGGTATAAACTTTCACTATGACGCGACAAACGTTATCAGAACAGACTTTCCGATAGGGAATGTAATCAGATACAGGTGTTTACACAGATATTATTCTTCTATTTAACGGATTATTTACAGGATTACCCACCTCGATCAATCAGATAGAAACTGTATTCTGAATGGCTTCAATCGGACTAGTCTATTCTGATTGAGGTGTCTACATGGATGTATTATATTGTATTGTGATTGAGCTATTAGTCTGATTATTGACAGATTATCAGGCAGCATGTAAGCGCGGCACTCATGCTCTGGCACCATACAAAGCACCCGGGCAGTGCAGGTATGCCAAAAATTCCATTGAAAGTAATTACGCATTGCAAAGCAATACACAACACTGTAGTTATCTGATTTATATTCGTTACGACCTGTAGCTTATACTATAGCAACGACCTAGCAACACCTTTCCATCCAGTACACCTTGGGAAACATCTAGCAGTACCTTAGCAACCACCTGGTACACCTTGGCAACAACCACTGCAACTAGCAACACCCTTGGGGCAGGTCCCCAAGCTCTACCACAACAACTATCTAGCAATACCTTGGAGGCCACCTAGCAACATCTTAGTAATCTTCTAGCAACACCTAGGCAACCACCTAGCAACACCTAAGCAACCATCTAGCAACATCATAGCAACCACCTCGAATACCACTGCAACTGCCTAGCAACACCCTTGGGGCAGGTCCCCAAGATCCACCACGGCAACTGTCTAGCAACACCTTAGCAACCACCTAATACACCTTGGCAACCTTCTAGCAACACCTTTGCACCTTCCTAGCAACTCCATAGCAACCTCCTGGAATACCGCAGCAACTACCTAGCAGCACCCTTAGGGCAGGTCCCCAAGCTCTTCCACAGCAACTATCCAGCAACACCTTAGCAGCCACCTGGTACACCTTGGCAACTCTTTAGCAACAGCTTAGTAATCTTCTAGCAACACCTAGGCAACCACCTAGCAACACCTTGGCAACCTCCTAGCAACATCATAGCAACCATCTTGAAAGCCACTGCAACTACCTAGCAACACCCTTGGGCCAGGTCCCCAGGCTCTACCACAGCAACTGTCTTGCAACACCTTAGCAACCACCTGGTACACTTTGGCAATCCCCTAGCAACAACTTGAAAATCTTCTAGCAGCACCTAGGCAAACACATGGCAACATCATAGAAACCCTCTTGAATACCACTGAAACTATCTAGCAACACCCTTGGGGCAGGTTCCCAAGCTCTACCACAGCAACTGTCTCGCAACACCTTAGCAATTACCTAGCAACACCTTAGTAATCTTCTAGCAACACAGGCAATCACCTAGCCAACCTTTGGCAACTGCCTAGCAACATCATAGCAACCACCTCAAATACCACTGCAACTACCTTGCAACACCCTTTGGGCAGGTTCCCGAACTGTATCACAGCAACTGTCTAGCAACACCTTAGCAACCACCTAGCAACATCATAGCAACCATCTCGAAACCACTGCAACTACCTAGCAACACCCTTTTGGCAGGTCCCAAGGCTCTACCACAGCAACTGTCTAGCTTCACCTCAGCAAACACCTTTGGCAACTTGGCAACCCCCTAGCAACCATCTAGCAACACCTTGGCAACCATCTAGCAACACCTTGGCAACCATTTAGCAACACCACAGCAACCACCTGGAATACCACTGCAGCTACCTAGCAACACCTTTGGGGCAAGTCCCCATGATTGTCCACAGCAACTATCTAGCAACACCTTAGCACACCTTGGTGACTCCCTAGCAACAGCTTAGCAATCTTCTTGCAACACTTTTGCAATTTCCTAGCAACTTCATAGCAACCACCTTGAATACCACAGCAACTACCTAGCAACACCCAAGCAACCATGTATAATACCATAGTAACCGCTTAACGAAGTCCTAGGCACCGCTTTTCCTCCAGGAAATGCACTTCTGTAGTGGTTAGTTATGTTTTTCTCTTTGGGGCTTGTTTTCATCGTGTGATAAACTGAGTGGACGTCGGCGCTCACAGAGACGTTCCGCTTCTGCTGTGTTCCTGTGTTCCTGTGTTCCTGTGTTCTGCGTATCGAGTCGTGTTTTCAGGTGCGATCAGACCTGCAGTGGAGAGGTTTATGAAGTCATTCCACATTTAGACGTTTTCTCTGTTGATCTGCTGTTCTGGATGGTAAACAGGAAAACAGGAGCTCAGAATCGACTCCTGGAAATAAAACAACCATAAAACGAATAAAAACAGTTTTACTGCGTGGAGACGAAACAAAAACAAGCGACAGAGTGGAAACGTGGTGAATAACGACTGCTGTGAAATGAGTTCAGAGCGAACGAGTGAAGGACGGCGTCTCTTCCGCTTCCCCTTATTATTTACCCTCCAGTTCAGCACTGTTCCCAAAAAGAGAGACCAGAACATCACACACACACTCACACACACACACACACACACACACACACACACACTCACACACACGCGCACACACACACACACACTCACACACACTCGCACACACACACACACTCGCACACACACACACACACACACACTCGCACACACACACACACACACACACACGCACGCACACACACACACACACACACACACACTCGCACACACACACACACACACACGCACGCACGCACACACACACACACACACACACGCACGCACACACACGCACACACACACGCTCACACACACGCTCACACACACGCGCACACACACACGCTCACACACACACACACTCTCTGACACACACACACTCACACACACACACACACGCTCACACACACACACACACGCTCACACACACGCACACACACGCACACACACACCCTCTCTCTCACGCGCACACACACACACACACACACAAACACACACACACACACTCTCTCTCTCTCACACACACACACACTCTCTCTCTCTCTCACACACACATACACTGTTTTTATACTCTGTGCTGTTTTCTTACTGGTTTTGAGTCATTTGTGTGAGAAACGAGTGAGAATAGTTTCCCAGGACGGAGATTTTGGATACACAAAAAAAAGAAAGAAAAAGAAAGACAATGGTTCTATTTAGAACCCTTGATGGTTCTTCATTTCGCTTAGTGGTAAAGACTGTAGTTATATAGAACCAAAAAGCGTTTATCTGTTGTTACAAGCTTGACATCTTAACAACAGCAGAACCCTTTTGGGTACGTGCATAGAACCATTTTCAAAACAGTTCTATATAGAACCTTCTACAACACATTCTCTATCGATCTGAAGAACCATTTCACCATTCAAAGAACCATTTGAGCGTGAAATGGTTCCATATACACTCTTAAAAAGAAAACCTTGATTGTTCTTCGTTTTCTTTCATGGTAAAGACAGTGGTTCTACATAGAACCGTGAACACTCAGAGATCCATTTGCATATTTAAATGGTTCTCTGCATGGTGAAATATTTCTTTAGATTAATAGAGAATGTGCTGTATATGGTTCTATATAGCACCAAAAAGGGTTCTGCTGTTGTTATGATGTCCAGCTTGTAACAGTAGAAGAGCCCTTTTTTGGTTCTACATAGAACCATATACACATTCACATTCTCCATCAATCTGAAGAACCGTTTCATCATGCGAAGAACCATTTAAGCATTAACGTTCTTTCAGTGTTCATGGTTCTTTATAGTACCACTGTCTTTACTAAAGAACCCCTGAAGAACCATCTTTTTCCAGTGTGTGATCTCACATATTATTCACTGTCATCCGTAGTTTAGAATAACAGTGAGATTTTACAGCTATTATACAAACAAATCCAAACTTCTTTAAAATTAAAATTTGAAATAATCGGATTGTTTTAAATTCTTAATGATTTAATGTCATTTTTACACACGTTTGTCCTGCTAATGGATTATTTTCTCTCTTTCTGTGCAGAGAAGGCCCGAGAGCTGCTCATCTCCTACGAACGAGAACAGTTTCAGGTAAATAACACCTGACACCACGCTGGCGTGCTGACCGTGTTCTGACCACGGCGCTTAGAGTCGTTTTAATATATCATCATACAGAACCGACTCCAGCCCATCAGTGTTAATGCACAGTTGCTGTGATTGTGTATAAACCTGGTTCCACTCAGCACCCACTGTGTAATCCCGCATCTGTCCTCTAGAGGGCACTGTGTGCCTGCAGTTGCAATTACCAACTACTGGGCTCTATATGTGACTCATGCTGTGATTCGCGTGTTACGAATTGCTTAAGCTCGATTTTTTTTTAAAAAAAGGGCTCCTTTTGTTCTACACTCAGTTCACACAGCCCCAAACAAGCAGCAGAGCATCTCAGATCTTTACAAGGTGAAAGACTTTGTTCAAAACTGTGCAATAATTTATAAAAACCCCAATTTTGTCACGTATGGCGCCCACAGGGTTCATACGATCGGATTCTGTTTGAACCACTTAGACCAGGGGCGTCAAACTCGACCACTGAAAGGGCCGTATTAGAAAATCTCAGCAAATCTGTGGGGCAGCTGTGTTTTATTTCATTTTTACTTAATGTTTTGACCCAAACTGGCCACTGTTTATTCAAAATATGCCAAAACTGCAACAGCAAATGGGCATTGAATCAAAAGTACATCTAAATATAAAACGGCCTATTTGCTTGAACTAGACACCAGGTATCTTTCTGTGTAACTGCTGGCCCATAGATTGTTAGTCAGCGCACACACTGTGTTGCAGGGCATGCTGGGGACCGTAGTGCATCTCAGGCTAGTAAGAATAGAAAACTAAAATCATTTTGCCGGCCAAATAGGCTGTGTCACGCGCCCGACTCGGCCCGCTGGCCTTCTGTTTGACCCAAGGGACTTGGATAACGCTGAGCTCAATCTGAAGCACCTTTAACAGTCCTGCTTTTCTAATCATACAGTCGGGCTTTGGAGATAACATTAGAGTGAAGTGCACAAATAAACAAACACAGACCTGCACAGTGTTTACTCCTCTCCGCTCTTCACCGTAACATCAGTGTTCTAAATGTACATTATACAACAGTTAGTTCGGCCACGCGAGCTGATTGGCTGAGAAGCGCTCTAACAATGCTGTTATTTCACCATAACATCACGGTTTTGTCACAAACACTGCATCACTCCGCTGAGATGCTGTTGCTAAGCAACGACTTTGACAGCTGTAGGAGACGCTCAAGCCATTTGAACGTTTTCACTTCTTACTTTGCCACAAACAGAAAATGGACACTTTTAAGATCACATTTGACCGACAGCCGATTTGGTCAGACTCTGAAGATGAGACGACACTAAACTCCCAAACTGTCATCACCACTGAGCAGCTTTTCAGTCGGCAGCTGTGACAGAAGAACAGCTGAACAACCTGGAATCAGCCAGAAATGAACCCAACACCATTCGCCAAACTAAACGGGCTGTAAGATGCTTTACAGACTGGCTGGAACAAAACAACATTAATACTGATCTGGAAAAAACTGACAAAACTGAGCTGAACTTGATATTGTGGCAGCTTTATGGCTCAGTCAGATTTGGATCTGAAGATCAGACTACACGTTTGGCGAATGGTGTTTGCTTCATTTCTGGCTGATTCCAGGTTGTTTAGCTGTTCTTCTGTCACAGCTGCCGACTGATTTCTGCAGTTATTCGCTTATTCAAATGGTCATGTAAACACCATACTCTGATCTAGAAATCTGATTAAGACATCTGATCAAGAGGCTGGATTTTAGCTCAGTAATCAGATTTCTCAGCGCATGTGAACTCTTACTCTGATTTCTTTCGGATTTCTCAGTCTGAGCATGTGCGAAAACAGATGGCGCTACCAGAAATAAGCGAGACGCAGCAAAACACTTTTGGAGCGACGCTGAAACCAAATACATGCTTGACGAAATGAAGGATTTAAATATTCTTCTTCTTCTAGATGATGTTTGTTCATGTTTTCAGGTAAAGTGGCGCAAAAAAGCTGCGTCATGAAGTTTAAGTTTACGTCACGTTTCTTGTGTGAGTTTATTGGCTGGTTACAAAGCAGAAATCTGATTACTGTCTGACTTACGTAGACCTGGAGTTTCCCGGAGTTTCCCCATTATCCGATTACTCAAACATGTTAACACGTTGATTGGATTACTGACAGAATCCGATTTTCTGCGGTTATCGGGACATTAAGTGTAAACGCACCCACTGTCAGGTTTCACAAACGGTGTTGTTTCTGACTTTATTGTGTAAACAGTCGTAAAACCCTAAGAAATGTGGGTGAAATGGGGCAGAAAAGCTGTTTTCCCTTTTTCCCAGTTGCTTCTGTGCATGAACTAAACTAACACCTGATCTTAAAGCTGTTCCTCCTTTATACTCTAAACGTGGTCTGATTATCTGAGACACATTTAGTGTCTGAAGTTTGCTTGTTCCATTTTACTCTGGAGCTCCACCACTCTCACTTAACAGCGCCAGCTACCTCTTCAGGGTTGCCAGATTGGGCATAATAATATGCTTTTTTTATTATTTTGCTGTCTTCCAGTTACGTTTTATTCCAAAGCTTAAACAAAAAGCTAAAAAAATAGAATGTATGCAACAGCACAGCAAAACAAACGAATAATAATAGTTAGTAATAATAATGAGGAAAGACAACAATATTCGTAGTAATAATTGAAATAAAATTAAAATAATAAGAATAAAACATTATTTTCCTGTTCAGGCATTAAAATGAAATGTCTTATTCTGTTCAGGATAATAGTAGCTAATATTGCATATCTGATTGCGTATGACTTACTGTTATCCATAAAAATGGACAAAAAAAGAGCTTGAACTTGAATTTGATCCGTACTTTTGTCCAGATTTCCATGCTGCTGATTGGTTGGTATATCATCTTCTGTTCGTCGTTAGCTACATTAGCATCGTAGCTCCAGTGATAAATCGACTACGTTTGGATTAAGAGTGAAATAAAAAAATAAAATTTGACAAACATCGATCGAATCTAAAAAAAAAAAATAAAACATTTGAATGCAGAAAACTTCTGTTTGGATGTTTAAGGCCTCTCCTGCAGCTCCTGGTGTTCCAGGTAGTTGCTAACATTATCATAAATGACGACTACCAAACAGAGAGAAGAACATGACCTTCCTGAACATTAAAAACGTATTATTTAAGTTTATTTCAAATTTTACAAGGTTGTTTGGAAACATCAGATGGGTTTTTAATGCAGATAGGCAGAAATAAATTCGGTCAGTGGACTTTCCTGACCAGCCAACACTCTGAATGTGGACGCTTTGTAGCACAGAAAGCTAAAAGTCACACAATAACAATAAATGATAGTAATAATAAGTAATTTTGTGCGTGTTTGCAATAATAACAATAATGTTAATAACAGTAATAACATAAAATCCAGCATTTACTGCAGTTATTAATCTTCTTACTAACATATTCAAATATCTAACAAACAAACGAGGGAAATTCGGATTAGGTTCCTGATCCCGTCTGACGGCCGCAGTGTTTGTTTGTTCTTTTGGTCAAATTGTCGCTTTAAAAAGTTCACCTCGTCTGTGAGACGGAGTTTCGGATCAGGTAATGAGGTGAAGCGTGAGTAACGCATGAGTCAGGTTCAGTGATGAGACAGTCAGGACGTCCCTCGTGCTCTTCAAACCGGTCACGACCGTGTTTCGGTGCGCCGCCCTCCGCTCCTCCTTTTGTCTCTCTGCTCACTCCCTCAGTCACTCTCTATGTCTCTCTATGCCCCCTCCCTCTCTTTCTCACTCCCTCCAGTGAACCCCCTTAAGTGCATTTACTCCGGTTGCCGTGGGCGATATGCACAGCCAATAAGAGTGCCTTCCCCCCGTGACGCTCGATGTGTAGGCGGGAGAGAGAGCGAGAGACAGAGAGAGACAGTGAGGGATAAGGGGAGAGAGTGAGAAGAAAAAGAGGGATGGGGAGAGGAGAGAGTGGGAGGAAGAGAGAGAGAAGGGAGACAGCGAGAGAGAGAGACAGGAGAGGGGGGATATGGAGAGAGAAAATAAACGTGTGCGTATACATGAGTAAATATATATGTATATATATACACACACACACACACACACACGTAGAGAGAGACAACTAGAGGCATATGGGGGAGGAAGTGATGGGAGAGAGAGAGAGAGACAGAGAGGAGAGCAGGAGAGAGAGTGATGGGGTGATGAGATGGACGAGAAAGTGATGGGGTGATGAGGCGGAGGAGAAAGTGATGGGGTGATGAGGCGGAGGAGAAAGTGATGGGGTGATGAGGCGGAGGAGAAAGTGATGGGGTGATGAGATGGAGGAGAAAATGATGGGGTGAAGAGAGAGAGAAAAACGGGGGAGAAAGTGATGGGGTTTACAGTGATGGGCGACCGAACGTTCTCCTCATTTAGCGGTCCATGGTTGCTTGGCAGCGATACCGAACTCTGAAGGAACTACATTTCTTGGCGGAATACTTGTTTATGTCGATTATTATTAATAATAATTATTATTATTTTCTGAAAAGTCGTGTTTTTATATTTTATCAAATTTTATATTGGCCACTGTTTTATAAAAGCGCTGAGCCACTCGAGGCCGTGCGTTACAGTGATTTTATCACAGGGAGGGGAGGTTTACTCTGCTTCTCGTCGTGCCTAACAACGCCCTTCCCTGTGATACAATCACAGTAATGCACAGCCTCTCGTAGCTTATTGCTATAATAGCTCACACTCTAGTTTAGTCTTAGTAATTCTGATATTAAAGTGTTAAACAGGGTAATTTGAATGGTTAACTAATGAAGTAATGTGTGTTGTAGGTCTATGAGGAGTTGCAGAGCCGAAACTCAGAGCACGGCCCTTGGCCCGACGCCACCGCTGACCTCAGCTGGATCCTCGCTCAGATCAAACAGTTCAGCTCCGAGTCCAGGTGTGTGTGTGTGTGTGCGCGCTCGTTTATCAACCTGTGATTTCTGAACTCATAATTCATATTTTAAATGTGCTGCACAATATATGACCATTTAAAGGGGAATTCCACCCATTTTTTCTAAATGTCCCTGTAATTCAGTGTTTGAGGTGTAAACAGAGTGATCCAGAGTGGTTTGGTGTGAAATGGTTCAGATGTCTTTACAGTGGTGGTGATAGGAACCAGGGGTCGCCATGACTACAACACAAATATAGACATTTTATTTACTATCCAGAACCACCAGTGAACCTACACGAGTCTTCTGAGTTTATATGGAATGTTGATGATGGAAAATAGTGGAAAATCTGAAATAACACGTTTTCTTTGGGGACTATTTTGCCTCACAACACCCTGCATATTATGTATCCCTCCACCATGAATGGAGTTTAAGGCCAAAATCTTCTCTAAACTATCATAAAACAGTGTCTCAGTCGTCAGGCAGTGAATTCATAACCATGTCATGTAGTAACTTTCTGTGAGGAGCTTTTAGAGGTGGACGTCTGGTTCCTATCACCACCACTGTGAACAGTCTGACAAGCATTTCACACCAAACCACTCTAAACGACTCTGTTTACATCTTTACATCTTTAAACTACTGAAAAATCTTCGTCTGTGTTGTACAGAGATGTACTGGTGGGGGTTTTAGTGCAGGATGGCTTTCTGATCCCAACAGCAGAGCAGCTGGAGTCGCTGGACATCAACCCTTCAGGTACACAGCACACAGTAACGTACAGTCCTATGCAAAAGTTTTGGCGCCCATGGACAAGTTCCATGTGTTGTTGATTTTCTGAGTGTGAATAAGTGAACACGTCCTCTACAGAGACACACTTCTGTACATTTTAATACAGTTACTGTGTATATTTACTGAATTTAACATACTAAAATATACTGAAAATACAGCATGTGGCACAGGCCGCATACTTCAGTGGTTCTTCAGTAAAGAAAATGGTTCTAAATAGCATTATGAACACTCAAAGAACCCCTTTAGCACAGGGTTCTTTGCGTCATTATAGGTTTCTTCAGATTGATGGAGAATGTGCTGTAGATGGTTCTATACAGAACCTTTTTGAAAAGAGTTCATATAGCACCCAAAAGGGTTCTTCTATTGTAACGGAGTCAAGCTTGCCCTTGTGGGTGCTATGTAGAACCCTTTTGTTTATAGATAGAACCATCTACAGCACGTTTATGCACATTTTCCACCAACTGAAGAACAAATGAATACATCTAGTGGGCCGTTTAGGTAAAATATCCTTCAGTTTACAGAATAAAAGCCCGAATCAAATTATTTTTGCGTAATTTGCTAAAATAATTTCTAATTCGTAAATATCTATAGAAATCTTGCTTATCTTATTAGGTTTACTCTTAAAACTCTTTATTTTCTAATCTTTACTCGTTTGTTTTCTGTGTCAGCGCTTGATAGCATTTGTGCTATTTGGGTGACTATTGAGTTCCACTGTTTGTTAGCAGCATTAGCCTCATAGCTCCAGTTCTGAACGAAAGATGCAAATTAGTCTTGGCTGATCTAAATCTGGTTTAAGAGGACAAGTGGGCAGATTTGACTTACTTGCCTGTCAGTATACTTACTTAATGTCTCCCAAATGGTCTCTCTCTCTCTCTCTCTCCCCCTCTCTCTCTCCCTCTCTCTCTCTCTCTCTCTCTCTCTCTCTTTTGTCTGCTCTATCTCTCTCACCCTCCCTCCCCAGAGGACCTGCTGGACCCGTTAACTCCATGTTTGCCGAGAGTTTGTCTCCGTTTCTGGTTCCCGCTGTGGAAGGTCCTGAACTTGCCCTCGTTTATCACTCTAATCCTGGACAAGCTATTCGCCGAGCTGTCTAACGAGCCAACCAATCACAGGGCTTACTACATCTCGGCCTGGATCTCTGAGATTCTGCACTGCAACAACAGAAGTATGACACACCTTCAGCTCGTTCTGTGTCAGATGAGACAATGAACACTGCAAAAAATGGTATCTTGTCGCGTAAAATTATCTTAAATAGAGTCAATAAATCTAATGTTTCTCCTGTTGAGATTGTCGTAAGCTTCATTTATGATTATTTACCTTATTTCTAGACATTTTTACTTGCTTTAAATAATTTTATTAAGTAAAATTACTCACTATATTTACAGATAATTTTGCTTGTTTTAAGAAATGTGCTTGAAACCAGCAAAATTATAGATAATTTTAGTTGAATTTCCTAAAACAAGTAAATAAAGTCTAGAATTAAGTGCACACCAATCTCAAAATGAGAGATATTAGATTTATCGACTAGATTTAAGATCTTTTCACTTGGCAAGATACCATTCTTTGCAGTGAAGGGACTTCATAGAGTCTAGTTTAACCTTTAGAAGTCAGTTATTACTGTGATGTTGTCTTATTATTACATAATTACACAATTCTGTTCTTCATTAATACTTATATAATGAACTACATTTGCGTTTGGCCTGTAAAGGTTCAGGACTGGGCATCAGATCGATAGCAGGAATGGTCATTTTCTTTGGAAGTGCATGTTTTGTGGTGAAGCAGCCTGATTAGCGTGAGCTCTGCACCGTGTTTGTGTGTAACAGGTGAGTCGAAAGCCGTTAGGAGGATGAAGATGATGAAGGAGAGGATTTTTGTCAGTCGAGTTCTGTTCCAGTGGCAGGATCTGATAACTGCGTGTCTGAATGCTCCGTGTCCAGCTACGCCGTTTCTGCTGCAACAGTATGTACACATGCACACGTACACTGGAGTTGGGAGTGTAATATCACAGTTTTCTGCCCTGCAATCAGGAGATCGTGGGTTCAATCCCTCGTGATGCTATAGCCGGGAGTCCAAGAGAGCAGAATTGGCCTCACTCTCTGGGTGGGCAGGATGGCCCCCCGTCTCCCCATCACCCACCGCAAGCATCTGTCAGCTGACATAACTGAGTTGGTGGTTAGCGTCTCCTCCAAGTACGTTCAGCTGTCCAATGACGTTGCATGAGTAGCAGTTCGAAAAGATGCGGTGACGCTTCACAGGTCTGGGAGGAAGCCTGTGTGTGCTTTCACCCTCCTAGCGCTGGCGGTATCGTGTGACTGGGGGAGTCAGAACTAGTGGGTGGAACTGGAGACGACTAAATTGGGGAGAAAATTGAGGGGAAAAAAATCATCACAATATTTTAGGTTTTACCTGGTGTTGATACATTGGAAGCCAAAACTCAATATTGTATTATTTAATGATGAACCATTTTAACTGGAGACGCACAATCAGAACCATCCAGAATCCCAATTAGTAGATTTTCCCCGTCACACGATCGGCTGAATTATTTAGAGAATTTCAGCTGATCTGTGTTGCTATGATATGCGTGAGAATTAACTGTGCTTGCTGTCTTAATATCCAAATTCTTAATCCGGTGGTCACCAAACCTCCTCCTGGAGATCTGCTTTGCTGCAGATCATCTCACATGCTGCCCACTCTTACCTTCACATTAAAGCATCTGATCCAGCCCATCAAGGACTTCTTCAGAAGTTCATCAGCTGGCAGATTGTGTTTAGATCTGGACTCTGCAGGATGCTAGATCATCAGGACCAGGGTTGGTGACCACTGGCTTAAAGTAAGGGTGTTTTCAAACTAGAGTTGTTTTCCGGACCGAGGACCGCTCTGTGAGTTTGGTACATTTGGTCGAGTGTGAAAGCTGTTTTTCGAGCCAGAATCTCTGGTCCTCCTGAAATCGGTGGTCTGGGTTTTGCTTCCAAAGAGCTCTGGTGCGGCGGGCTGCACGTGTGCGAGCTATCCGCCATCGGCGCCACGTGTGGGGCTGCGTGACTAGATCATTTCATAACGTGACTGCTTCGACTTACGGCGCCACTTCCCTTTTTTAATTTGCATGGTGGTGGGGAAAGGGAAAAGTGCTCCCGCATGGTGAAATGCCGTGTGTCCAGTGGTGGACGAAGTACACAAACCATGTACTTGAGTTAAAGTAGAGATACCCAGGGTAAAATATTACTCCAGTAAAAGTAGAAGTTCCTCCCTTTAGACCTCCACTTGAGTAAAAGTACTAAAGTATTTGCCTTCAAATGTACTTAAGTATCAAAAGTGAAAGTACTACAAGATTAATTAACTTAATGCAATTTAGTTACAAGTTTAAGTTTAATAAAAACTTTAAACTCAGGTTCACAAATGAGTTTCCTTTACTAAACTGCATCTGTAGGTCTCTGTTCATAAACATAACCTAGACAAAACTAGTTTACTATAAAATGAAATAGTGTTTGTATAAATTCAGAATAAAGACACGTCGGTCACAACTGCATATGAGTACATATTTCTATATTGTGGTCTGTTTACACAGAGTTAGGTTAGTTCATCATTTATGTTGAATAGACTCTCCCAAAATTTTACACTGCTGCACTGATGTTGAACCGTGTGCTGCACTGGGTCGGTATGACTAACAGGTCAAAACAAGCTCAAAACAAAGTGACCGCTGTGCCCTGATTGGTGTTCTTGCTTTGCGCTTCTTTCGTTTTGACATGTTACATTTTTATACACACATAAACCAAAAGGAACGACAGATTTCTCATAATGTGGTGGAGTAAAAAGTGAGATATTTGACTTTGAAATGTGGTGGAGTGAAAGTAAAAAGTCGCCCAAAATGGAGATACTTCAGTAAAGTACAGATACACCAAAAAACTACTTAAGTACCGTAACGAATTACATTTACTTCATTACTGTCCACCACTGTGTGTCTCCCAAAAGCGCTGTTCTTCGCCACTTAAGCGTTTGTATCCAAGGAAAAAAAAATTTTGTCTGTGAAAGCAAAGCAGTGATAATGAGCCCCTCCCTCAGACAAGCCCAGAATCGGTCCTGGGTGTGGACAGACAGTTCGATCCCCAGTGATGCTACAGCCGTCTGTGGCCAGGAGTCCAAGAGAACACAGTTGGCCTCGCTCTCTCTGGGTGGGTAGGATGGCCCTCCTTCTCCCCCCATCACTCAGCGTGATGCTAGTCAGCGCAGGCGTCTGTTAGCTGGCGAAATAGAACCAGTGGTTGGCGCTTTCCTCCGAGCGCGTTCGGCTGTCCAGTGACGTTGCTTGAGCGGCAGTTTGAAATGATGCAGTGGCGCTTCACAGGTCTCAGAGGAAGCCTGTGTTAGCCTTCACCCTCCTAGTGTTGATAGCATCGTGTGATTGGGGGAGTCCTAACTAGCGGGTGGAATTGGAGACGACTAAATTGGGGAGAAAATTGGAAAAAATCCAAATATATATAGCAGCTTAGAACCAGAAATCCTAATATGACCATATTAGACTCAGGATTTCTGGCTATATGTATCGCTGTTGTCGGAAGAAAACCTCATATCTCCAAAAAAGTAACTTTTCAGGAAAAGGAAAAAAACCTACTTTACTTTTAATGTAAGTCATGGAACCAGACTTTTTTCCAAGTCATTTTGGGGCATTTCTTTTGGTCCATTCATCATGAAATTTATACACACTGTAAAGGGCTAAAGGAATTTTCAAATAATGTCAAAAACCGAAAAATGACAAAAACGGAGATACAAGGTTCCGACGGCAGTGATACGGTCATATTAGCATTTCTGGTTCTAAGATGTTTATGACAGCAAAACAGCTGCTTTTGCACGCTGTGGTAAACGGAACGTTTCCCCACCCGATACGTTTTTGTTTTATGTTTTTCCTCTGACTGTCACTGGATCCTCTTAAATGCGAGGTCATAAAGAGGCTCAAGTATCGTGATAAAAACGTATCGCTGTGAAAATGACAGATGTGGTTCACCGTTCAGTACAAATAGATCAGTTTTAATGAGTGAAGATTTAACCTAAAACCTCCCACCTTCACAGAAACATCTCATCAATTTCTTTATGTTCTCTCAGGATTCTGAGTGACATGGATAAGCCCCTCCCCTCGGCAACACAGCAGAACTTGCTCCGCCTCTGCAGCATCTACACGCAGAGTAACCACGGCGACTGTTCACCCAACAGCACTGACTCCTCCCAGCCTGTATACACACTGGAGAGCCTGCAGGAGAGACTGGGTGGGGCTACACAGGACGGACACGCCCACTCTCCAAACCACACCCCTGGGTCGGCGCAGACCACGCCCACTCTAGACCTGCAGGAGCATTTGAGCGCTGAAACGATCCAGGAGAGAAACGCAGTGTTACGCGGGTCACCGTGGAGTGTGTGTACAGGTATAACACACACACACACACACACACACACGCACGCACACACACACACACACACACACCTGTGATTTAATGTATAGTTGTATGCAAAAGCTGGAACACCTCCCTGGTGAATTTACCTGCTTTGTTGATTTGAGTGAAGCCAAGCTAACGCACCCTCTACAGGGAACACACTTAACCTAAATAGGCCATTTGTTACTGCGGCGTCCTGCAAATTTTAGCGCCCAATATCTTTTTCCTATTTACTGAGTTTAACTTATTTGAAAAAGTAAAATATAAAATGTGCCATAAGTTTCTCACAGGCCACATTTAATGATTTGTCTTTTTCCCAATATGTTAAATTTAACAAATCAGCAGTAATTAAAATGTGTGTTAACTTATCTTCACTCAGAAAGTGAACCGGGGGCGCCTAAACTATTGCATCTGACTGTATATACTATCGCTGTTAAAACAAAACCGTGCCTTTTATTTTTTTCCCACTTGATTTAAAATTCCAGTTGCCCTTTAGACTGTGTTAAAATGGCACAGCGAACACAAATAATCCAAAATTACTATCGTTCCTTTAACTTCTATTAAAAGTTGAAGGGGAATTCCACCAATTTTTGAAAATTTTCTGCATAATTAAGTGGTCAAGATGTAAACAGAGTCATTCAGAGTGGTTTGGTGTGAAACGCTCTGTTCTAGAGAAACTTACAGTCAGAATTGTTCACGGTGGTGGTGATAGGAACCAGACGTCCACCTCTAAAAGCTCCCTCACAGAAAGTTACTACATGAAATGGTTATGAATTCACTACCTGATGACTGAGACACTGTTTTATGATAGTTTTGAGAAGATTTTGGCCTTAAACACCATTCATGGTGGAGGGATACATAATATGCAGGGTGCTGTGAAGCAAAATAGTCCCCAAAGAAAACTTATTATTTCAGATTTTCCACTATTTTCCATCATCAACATTCCATATAAACTCTCAAGACTTGTGTAGGTTCACTGGTGGTTCTGGATAGTAAATAAAATGTCTATATTGTAGTCATGGCGACCCCTGGTTCCTATCACCACCACTGTAAAGACATCTGAACCATTTCACACCAAACCACTCTGAATCTCTCTGTTTACATCTCAAACACTGAATTATGCAAAATAATTTAGAAAAATTGGTGGAATTCCCCTTTAATGTCTTTTCCTTCTCTATTTTGGTTTTGTGGAGTCGGCGCTGATGTATAAAACCCCACACTTTCCTGTGCTCCTCTAGATAAGGTCCCCTGGAAACTGTACCCGCTGGGGAAGGTTCCGGGCCAGTCGGAGGACCCCTCCTGTCTGATGGTGGAGACGTACTCCACACTGACCGTGTTTGACCAGCAGGTGGAGCTGGACCAGATCCCCCCTCCCCATGCCAATACAAGGTGAGAGGTGACCAGATTAGGTTTGGTGGCTTGTGTGTCCTTTTGCGGTCTGCTGTAGTGTCCGTATCTCTGTTTGCAGTGGGCTGATGCAGAGCAGAGCCGGATCAGACGGGCCGCTGTGGACCCACAACGACCTCAGCAAACTGAAGGCCGGATTAAAGCTGTTCTAGAACACACACCGCTGCAGCGTACGTGTGTGCATACGTACTCGACTGTTTTTGTACGATGAAAACTTCAGTTTTTCTGTTCCCAGTGTTTTTTTACTCTGTTAGAAAAAACACCAGCTTCTCTTATGTGAGCGTTTCTTTATGAAAATCGCTTGGAATGCAAACCTGCTGCATTAATACACATTAAAAAACGTTCATTCTGTCTCCTTTCAAGTTACTGTTTCAGAAATACATGCTTTTCTGTTGACAGTGCCAGTGCAGAGATGCATAAACAGGGGACTGTCCAAAATAATGGAAAGGTTGGCGATACAAGGTTTTGTTCCGTGATTCATATTATAGTTGCTGTTGTGTAAAAACTCTATTTTCATTCATTTTTAATGGCCACATTTAAAAACTTTGCATTGTGCTATGATGCCATGATGAATGGACCAATAGAAACAGCCCAAAATTACTTACTGTTACGTCCATTAAAAGTTGATAATGTTTTTCCTTCTCCTGTAAAAGGTTTTCGTTTTGGAGATACGAGGTTCTGACAGCGACAGTATGTTTACAATTACTGCTTTTTTTTTGCTGAATTTAGGATATCGGAGAGGAAAAAATATAAAATGTGACCTGTGCAAAAGTTATGGCACGCTATACATTATTATTATAATTTTTTCTTTTAATTTTTTTAAATATCGTTTTATTTTTTTCCCCAAAATGTTAAACATTTTGTCTTCACCCCCACCCACCTGTTGTTGCACTTGCCGGGTGACAATAACAGTCATTATTGTTATAGAAGTCATAAAAAAAGTCATACAATTTTGGGCACCTCTGGTCAAATTCCATTTTTTGTTTATTTGTGAAAATAAATGAAAGCGAAAAAAAAGTTAACACGCCCTCTACAGGCCGCATAAATAGAAATAGTGAACTAAAATTGTCATATTTGTGTTCTCTGTGAGGATGAATTCACATATTTTCACTCAGAAGAGCGACAAAACATCATTTCACCGGAGGTGGTCAAACTTTTGTATCCAACTGAAAACGTTATGAAGCTGAAGATATTCAGTTTTGTTTGGGTTATGAAAGTTTTTGAGCTTCTGTAGTCATTTTTGAGGGTTTTGAGGGCCAAATTTTGTATACAGCTGGTTACTCATCCATCCAGGACATCAAACTCACCTTTCAACCTTACGGTTTTCTTGTTTTTGTTATTTTTTTATAGGCTATTTTTGACATGTACAGTTCAGCTCACCTTTAATTTGGTCCACTCACCTGTTCATCTTTCATAAGCTGTTACATACTTTACTGTAAATATTGTCATTTCTTTTTCTCCCAGCATGCACATTATTGGCATTGCGGTAAACGAATAAAAACAAATGAGAAATGAGTGAATTGTTTAGAACTGCTTTTTGAATATTGTGAATATATCAGAATGGGACGTTTTTATGTCGCTGTTTCCATTATTTTGTCTACATCTTTTACGTGCACCAGTATCTCACATCGCTTAATTCATATTATCTTAAACTATGAGGTGATGTCACAAATTATAAACCTGATTTCCTGTTCAGTCTTCTGCTTCTTTCATTGGGCTTTATTCGCCGACATTTCTTAAAAAGCAATTTCTTCTTAAAACCCATTTACGTAGTTTTTACGAAGATTCTGACATTCACCAGTGTTTTCTTATCTGGGGTTTGTTCTTAGGGTAAAAACAGAATCTACACACACTCAAGATTACAAAGGTGAGAACAGTTCTGCGCTTTAAGAACACGTCATGAAACTGACGGAGACTTTTTCTGAGGATCTTTCTCAAGAACACTTTTAAGAAGAAATTTAGGAAGATATTGATGAATAAGGCCCCAAAAACTTAATTTAAAAGACCACTTTGTATCAGGAAATAGCTTTGATGCTTATAGAATGTTAAAAGCAATCATAATCTATGCCATGATGTACTGAAATATGATTTTCAGTTGATTTTGTTTGGACAAATTAAAAATATTTTGTTTGCTCAGCTCTTGGAAACGTCCCCGAACAAGTTTCCTGGAACAAACACGAGAATTTATGTGCTTATAGACGTACAAGACGTCAATATTAGTGTAAATTTTGCTGCTGTCCGAAGAAGACCATGTATCGATTTTTATTTTTCTACATCATTTCAACACACCAGCTGTCCTTTATGTTATGTGAAAATTTCATGATGAATGGACCAATAGAAATGCTCTAAAATCACTTGGAATAAAATCTCTTTACATTAACTTACAGATTTGCATTATTAGTATGAATGTGTGGGTTATGAATCTCATAATGAGATTTTTTCCAAATAAAGGAGAGATAAATCTTGCAGCCTTGTTGCTTAAACAATGTATTTTTGCAGATTTTACTTTCATAATGCACCACACGTTTTCAACAGGAAACAGACAGGTCAGTGTAGCACCCACACACTGATTATGCAGCCATGCTGTTGTAACACATGCAGGATATTTTTTGGTGCTGTCATGGTGAAATAAACATGGATGTCCCTGAAAAAGATGGCGGCTAAAAGGCAGCATATGTTGCTCAAAAATGTCTGTCACTATGCTCAGTGTTAGTGGTGCTTTCACAGCTGTGCAGGTTACCTACTAATACCCACCAATACCATGACAGACGCTGGATTTTGAACTTTACGCCAGTAACAATCTGGATGGTCCTTTTCTTCTCTGGCTTGGAGAACACGTTGTCCATTACTTCCATAAACAATCTGAAAGGTTGACCCCTCAGACCACAATACACGTTTCCACAGAGCATCAGTCCATTTCAGATGAGTTAGAGCCCAGAGAAGTTGGCAGCGTTTTTCTTTATTCTTTGCAATTTGCATAGAAAGTCAATGGAAACATTGACTCCTCAGAGATATCTCCTTGAAAATGAATAACTTGTATGTAAAGGCAAGTTATGGCATAATTAAATTAAAGATGGTCTTTTCGCATACTAGGAATCAGGGCTTGTCCTTGATAAGCAAGTTAACTTTTGTTTCAACGTCTATTCAGCTGAAAGTTACTGGAAGTTGTAAGGAATTGTAAGGAAGCACAACATTTAGGAAGAAATCAGACCAAAAAAAGAGAAAAATGACAATTTTACCAACAGGGTTTGGCTTTATTGAAGAAAACAAACACATTTTGTCATTGAGACTTACATTTTGTTTGAGTCTACAGACCCAAAGAGTTACAAAGTTCGTTCATCTTCTTTTTTGGGGGGGAGGGTTCACGTTTCGTTGTTTTAACGTTTTAAAACAAGTTTCAAAAAGCAAATGTTTCATTCAACATAGAATAAAACATACTACCGTATGTCATTGTTACAACACGAGACTTCAAAGTGTTCAAATCACTCAGCCAACCTGGAACAGTGCATCGATAAATTAAAAAAGAAAAGAATTAAAAATAAAAAACCACGATACGATAAAGGAAAAGAAAACAGCTCGGTTTGATTTTGAGGACACGATTAAGAGGTCATCTGCACTAATTCACAAATTGGACTTTTTTGAAAAGCGCGATAATCATTTCATTATAGAAAACATCGAGGATATTGTCTGAAGGTTTACGTTTGTAATAAATCTGCTGGTTCCTGAGACGGGGTGCATGAGAGTGTGTGTAGGTGTGTGTTAGCTGGTATTTTATACATACATACATGTTTATCTTTTTTTAGTTTACAGATTCAGCGACCCAAAGAAACTGCCCAGAAAACATCAAAGGGGAATTCCACAGATTTAAAATGTCTGCATATTTAGATGGTTAACATGTAAACGGTCGTTCAGAGTGGTTTGGTGTGAAACGCTCTGTTATAGATAAACTTACCAAGTCAGAATTGTTCACAGTGGTGGTGATAGGAACCAGACGTCCACCTCTAAAAGCTCCCTGACAGAAAATTAATAAATAATATTCAGGAAGTTATGAGGCAAAATAGTCCCCAAAGAAAACTTATTATTTCAGATTTTCCACTATTTTCCATCATCAACACTCCATATAAAACTCATGTAGGTTCACTGGTGGTTTTGGATAGTAAATAAAATGTCTATATTTGTGTTGTAGTCATGGCGACCCCTGGTTCCTATCACCACCACTGTCAAGAAATCCAAGTCTTTACAAACAACCAATGGAGAAATTTTAAACAATCAGTGGAATTCCCTTTTTCCCCCCCCAACCCAAATTTTCCTTTTTTTTCTCCCAACCAAACAATTTTTTTGGTTTGTCAGACATTCAGAAAATTCTAGATGTAGCATTAAAATTGATTTCCATGATAACTTTCATTGTCTAGCATTATATTCCTATTTTTACATAATTCAGATTCACTACAGTGTAATTAGGCAAAACATTAGTTCCCAAAAGAGCTGAGAATGCTAGAAATAAAAACAGAAAGCAGTGATTAAAAATTCTGTTTGACATGTATTTAATTGGAAACAGTAGAAAAACAATATTTGAAGTTTTACTTTATGAGTTTATGGTTTAAATGTACACTTACTCCAAATTTGATGCCTCCAACACGTTCCAAAAAAGCTGGGCAGGAACATGTTTACCACTGTGTTTCATCACCTTTACTTTTAACAGCTCTTAATAATCTTTCGAATCCAACATTTGATCCAGTTTTGAAAGTGGAACATTTTGCCATTTTTCCGTTATAGAAGTCTTCAGCTGTGCAACCATACAGGGCCTTCGTGTATTCTGCACTTCATAATGCACCACATGTTTTCAATAGAAGACAGACAAGTCAGTCTAGTACTAGAATGTTTGTTGTTGTCATGTTGAATTTAAACATGAATGTCTGTGAAAAAGACGGCATCTAGAAGGCAGCATATGTTGCTCCAGAATGTGTTTAGTGTTAATGGTGCTTTCACAGATGTGTAGATTACCTACTAATAACCCCCCTGCACCATGGCAGATGCTGGATTTCGAACTTTATGCTGGTAACAATCTGGACGGTCCTTTTCTTTGGCCCAAAGAACGCAACATCCATTATTTCCATAAACAATCTGAAACGTTGACTCGTCAGACCACAATACTTATCACTGAGCATCAGTCCATTTCAGATGAGCTCAAGCCCAGAGAAGTCGGCGGCGTTTCTAGACGCTGTTGATATGACTTCCACTGTGCAGAGTACGGTCTTAACCTGCGTTTTTGGATGCAGCAACAGACAGCATTCATTGACTCTTAAGCCCATGTGGCAAAATCCATCTTAGAAGCATGACGTTCAA